ACGTCATTTTAATGCACATGATTATATTTCAGCAAGTATTTACCATCAGCCATAACCTTAATATTTAAAACTAGAATCATACTAAAATTATAAAGTGAGAAATTATTTATTCCTGTGTTATTGATTTAACACAATTCTAATGATACGATATATGTATTTTGAGGTTAAGAACCTACCTGCTGCAATACAACAAAGTTGCAATAATGTGTTTGAGAAAGAGAGAGAGAGTAAATGTGTATTTGGGACTGAGGAGCGGGTAGCGCTATAAGATGCGCAAGTATATTACACCGAGGAAATGTGATTTTACTACCCATCTATTTTTCATACCGTGCGCTATATATGAAACCATTCTTAAGGAGTGAACTCTAAAAACGTAAGAAAACCAGAAAGAAATACCAAGCCAGCCCTAAATGTAAATTGGCAACGTACAGAGAAATTGCGATAACAATTAAGCAGCTACATGGATGAAGCATGTAAACAGTGACGGTTGTTTTGTGTAAAATAAATAATTAATGTGTTCATCCCTGATAATAAGCAGTACAATTTAAAGTATACCTCTACATGGTATTAACAACATAAAAAGAAAATTGAAAACCGGTCATATAAACTCAGATATGTATGTATATAGTTTATCCATCATGGGAATCTACTCTCAAAGATTTTTCCATTTTCTTCTGAGTATGCTTTAAATTTCCCTCAAAAATGTGCCCCGAAAACGTATACCTAACTACAATATTACAATTAAGAAATTATTGGTGCTATAAGACATTACTTATTCTGAATTGGGCAAAAGCGTTCACCTTTTGGCGTACTTCATTTGCAGCGAGTATATACTTACGTGCAAATCATTAGCGTTCTGCACTGGCGTTTGATACACGCGCTGTTTTATACAACCTCACCAAAGTAGCAGGAGCCATACGTTTAAATTAGCGTTTAAATTGGTCAATGCAACAATAATATTCTGTATTGACCTATGACACTGACACCCTGAACTACTACCGATGACTTCTAATCTTCTAAATGTATATAACTGCACATGCGTGCATATTTCACCACCACATGTATAAATACTAATATTTACATGTGGAAAAGATTTGATTTGTTACTTTCAAAACAGTCCCAGAACTTATTAATCCTTTCGATTCGATTTAATAACCCTTTCAAGAAACGCTTTACCTCTCTCTAACATTATTATTTTTTTAAGTTTTCCTTACTCTGCTAACTGCTACTCTCCTTTTCTTTAGTACTAAAAAATCAATTTTTGAAAGGCATTTCTCTCTATAAATTTCATCCGACGTGTGATAACGTTAAGTTATAAATTTGAAAAAACTATTCCGTTCCTCCGACATGACACCCTGACAGTCATCCGATCTCCATCTGCACGTGGTAGGGTAAATTTTGGATTTTCACCCTTTTCTATTCTTTCTACGTAATATTTATTACGACCTTTCACACGGATTATCTTGTGCGGTTCTAAAATATATGTTTCGAAATGTGTACGTCTGATGACTGCAATATTATCAGTTTGATACATTTGTGAAGTTCTTCTTTTCTTATTAAAGCTCTTACTATTGTCTATGTTCCGATTACAGGTTGAATTGATAGTTTGCTGTAGCACTATCAGCACATACTCTTGTTCTTTTTCATCTCACAGCTTCTTTCTTTGCATTAACATCTTATATACTTGAGCGCTACTAATTACAATATCAAATTCTCTAATTAATCTTTGTTTCACGTTTCTCCACGTCGTATTCCTTTTTCAGATTGAATGAATAACTTTTTAATACCTTGTTTCAGATTCTTCTGCACATTCGTCGTGCATACTTTATTATAAAAAACAAAAATGATGATGTGGTCGTTATGCGTCGTCCTATGAAACTGATTGACATCGATACGTAATGGCTCAGAGTATGGGATGCTTTTACCTTTAAATTTGTTGATTAGTATAGGGTTGTTCGGAAAGTCATTTCGTTTTTATTTGTGGAAATGAAAGACAGTTTTCGTATAATAAACAAATACTTTATTAAATTATATATTGACCGTTCTGGTCCAACACTTTTTGCCATCTTTCTGGTAGTAGCATAATTCCACGCTCATAAAATTTTTGGTCTTTGCTGGCAAAAAACTGATCGAGGAGGTTTTTGACCTCCTCATTTGAGGTGAAGGTTTTACCGTCTAAAAAATTTTGGA